CATGGAGCTTTCAAGTACGGTTAATTTACTTCCGTATATCATAAATACTATTTCCTTGACTCATCATCTAGTGACTGTAAATAAATTAAACTTTTTTCGCATTGAGATATGTAAGTTAGGTGATTTTGTGGTTTTTAGAAGTGATGGTTCCATCACCTTGATATATAAATTTAACTGCTGAAAATATAGTTATGGCTATTCTGAATATGGTGACGAATTGCGACCTTTACTGGCATATTCGCCCTGGTGACATTTCTATAAAGTTATTATCATTCAATAACAGCTAGAATTCCTAAATTTCAAAGTGGTATTCACTCACTAGAATTCTTGTTCAAATACCCATAAGAGGAACCATAAACGAAGCATTGTACGAAAAGCAGTAAACGCTCCGATTGGATTTTTTATATTTCACAGCGAATGAATAAATATCTAGAAAAGCTATATGAATTCATCTTGTATATAAATGTTACATGCACCTTTCAATTTTAAATTATTGAAAAAATATAGCGTTAAAATAACAAAAATTGAAATAAACAGATCAAGAAAGAGTGTGTGCATATGGTTAATTGTATACAAATATCTTATATCCTAAGAACAATCATACTACAGTTGAGTAGAACATATCTTGTTGGCTTGTTTAGTAATAGATCGACAGATACGAAATTTGTTTGCAACAATATTTTAATGAATTACTCAGTTGATGACTACTCGAGTACATAGATGTAATCTTCAATAGATAAACATAGAGTAAAGCAGAGGTTTTACACTATGGACTATACTGTACTTGTGAGTAATGTAGACTTTGGACTTTTTTCTCCTTATGATGACGCCCTATTTCTCTGTATACAATCATTTATCAATGCACTTGTTTCGTCTACATATTTGATCGTTCCAAGTATTCTCATATTTGTATAATGTTCACAAGTTTCGGACATGAGTACTTTAATTATGCAATAAAATGATGCAAGAACTCGAGTGCTTCTCTACAGTTGAAAAGTCATGCAAGATGAACACTTCGTTTTCAAGTCTGTCCACATCTGCCACTACATGAAAAAAAGATTGAACTGGACGAGAATATGTAAATTCTATGAATATTAATAGATACATCTGATAATTGCTATATCAAACATCAAGTTATGTTAAAATTGAACTCATTACATGTAAAAAAGAAACTAATGAGAATAAACCAATATAATACAGAACAACATCGAATAGTATACATGAATTATAATGCGGCTTTTAAAACTGGCAGATGTCACTAATAGTTATTCTTTTATGTGTAACTATATATGTGTTTTAGTTGATCATGTAACTTTTAAACGTGTAACTATTTTTCGTAATTAATCATAGAGAAAAGAAACCGTCTGTAATTTGTTTATTAAAAAAAGTTCTATAGCAAGGTTTAAAAATCGAATTTCGTTGGCTAATCCATGAACAAATTAGCAGTAACTCAATGTAGACAGTGACGGCCGTTTTAAAGAAAGAGAATTTCTATTGAGTTTTTTTTATTCTTTCATTCATTTTTTTCTCTTCGTTTAATGTTGTTTGTCTAGCGTGGGCGTCCGATGGCAACAATCGAATTTCATTGCCAAAAATGTTCAACATTCTATCTTCTAAATTAACATCTTTGCGTAACTGAAAGTTTAATTTCTACTCTATGAATGATAAGAAAAAGAAAATAAATCGAATTAAATAAGAATTAAAATTGATTTTAACAAATATTTTAGATCGTTTTCTTTTTGCCTCGTCGTTAAGAAGATGGACGAGAGTAATCATAATATATTTGAAGTACTGGAATCGGTTCGTTTAGATTTATTTTCAAATTTTAATCTATTGATTAATTTATAGCCATCTACAACAAAAACATTAAAAATAACTACATCAACTACTACTACTAGTACTAAGCAATCTTTACGTCGTTCTCAGCTACCGTTGATAAATGCAGGCAATGGATTATATTCGGCTTCAACTTCTACTGCTGTGACTACTTCATCTTCTAATGAACCTCCACGAAAAAAACGAATAGTAGGATAATAATATTTCAGTAACTAAATTAATTTCTCATTTTGAAATCAGGATCGAGCTCTTCAAGATCTTGGCTTTGCAAATCCAGGCCCGAAAAATTTAGTTAATGTTGCTAATGTACCACCCAGACGTTTGAAAACGCGACAATCAGCTGCACAAGAAAAGCCAAGGTGAGCTAAACCAACACAAAAAAAGAATTCCCAACCATCTTTTCTCTCAAATGACTAAAGTTAAGAAAAATAGGTCGTATGTTTTCTATTCAATGACTTTTATCGACAAGTATTAAACGATAACGAATAAATTTTTATTTTAAGAGAAAACCAATGATTTTATTTGAGATGTAGATAAGCATTTATATACGAACTTGAATAATAACGAATATCAATAGACGGTGTGGATGTGTAAGTTTTTTTTCGGAGATTTTTAAATTGATTATATGTCAGTGTCTGTGTAACATACTTAAAACCCCTATCTTCGCCTACAAACGTCTACCTGTTGATAAAAGAGAGATAGAAGTTCTTATTTATATTTTGCATTCAAAATGACTTGTTAATCTCATATGTGTTTCATAAACTGGTTGATATTAAAGTAAAGTAGAAATATAATCTTGTTTGGCATTTACTTGTTATATCAATATTAATATATTCTACATTTCATCAATCGACTAACATTGACTTAGAAGTCAGTATTCCTTCAAAAATAGTCATAGAAAAATGTCCTTGTCGCAAATTGTGTCTGAGTTGTTCTTATCTTTATCGGTAGAGATAAAGTATTAGGAAATTCTCTTCATTTCAAACTAAAAATAGCTCAAGACATTCACGAAAATAAAATATCTTAGTGATACTCATCACCATCTATTCAAATAAAAACTCAAAACATTGTCCCTGAGGTAAAATTCCATAAATATCTAACTTGTAGATAATGGGTACGTCTTTAATATCAGTATTAACAAGAGACAGGTTTTTTTAAATAAGATTTACTCCTTTTCAAGGTTGGTATACACCAATTTTAACCCTTGATAGTCGATCAATAACTCGATTGAATATTCAGTAGCAGAATTATTTGAAAAATTAAGTTTTAAATTTTACCCAATTTACTCTTGTTCTTAATTCTAGTTCAAGTAAACCATTATATGATAAATCGGGTCGTCTTCTATCCGATGGAACCGATCGATGCGATTGCAATCGTGTAACATGCCCCGGATGTTTCTTGCCGTGTACAGCATGTCATTCTGGTAAATGCGGTCTCGAATGTCGTATGTATAGAGAAAAAGCATCTCTCGAAAACTTCAATATTGACTTCTTCTTTTTCTTTCACCAACAGGTAATCTTCGAGCTTATGTTTATGAATATCGTTTGTATGGTACAAATAAGGAAATAGTTCAACAATAATAATTAATGATGTATAATGTTCTGAAAAAAAAATTTTTTTCTTTGTGTTTGTATATAATAATGATTGTTATTTCGCAGCAGATATGTTTTGTCTTCTCATACATCTGAACCATTTCCACGTTACATGTTTCATTTAACATAATGAGTTAGTTTATTTCTCTTTCTAGAAAAAAAACTATAAAATGTTCGGACAAAAGTCACAGCGTAAAAAGAAGATGGCAAATAATCGCACTGCAAATGTTCCGTTGGGAAGTAGTTTAACATCAATGGATTGGCTACCAAAAATGCAAATAGGCGAAAATCCATTACCTTCATCGACAACACCGACTAAAGAATCATTACCAATACCACCATCTGTATCGTCACTGCCAGTTACTTTATCAATAGCAAATATTCCACAGAAAATCGAACCAACTGATATTGAACTACCAACATCAACTACACATTTAAAACCTCCGTACAGTTATGTAACATTAATACGACAAGCTATATTAAGTGCTCATTTGCAAAGAATGACATTAAATGAAATTTATCAATGGATTATTGAATCCTATCCATATTTCCGTAGCGCACCGCCAAAATGGAAGGTTAGATTTGAATATAAATTTATTATCGTTCTTTTTACAAATGTAGTTATCTTTAAGAATTCTATTCGACATAATTTATCATTGAATAAATGCTTTAAACGACTTCAAAGGAGTACAAATGATCCTGGAAAAGTAAGAAAATCATTATCCGAGTTGTTTTTCTTCAAAATAATCTATGTTGATGATTTGTACTTAGGGTTCTTATTGGGCACTTGATGAGGCAAATGAAACTAATCATCAATCAAATTCACGAAAACGAAGAGTATGAGAATAAGAAATCTTTCTTGTTTAATTTTCTTTGAAATACTTTTTGAATTAGTTTGAAACACAAAAATCTCTATCTATACCATCATCATCATCATCACCTGGTAGCATAAACCAAGGTTCGTCCATGTTTCATTCAAGTAATCCAATGATATATGGCGATGTGAATAGTGTTGGCGGACAATCGTTATCAGCTGATGAATCTGATTCGACTATGTCTCTTGCAGCCAATGTAAGACATTACATCATTATGGATGTAGAATCCATTTTTTGTTTTATTTTATAGTCTACATTAATACATTGGGATGATATGAATCTTGATTTGACTGCTTCGTTTCGTCGATTTCGTGAGCAAGTTTTAGATGCTCCATCGACAACATGGATCACGAATTCTGGTAAGTCATAATGCTTGCTCTCTCTCTCTCTCGGCAAGTGAAGAATCTCTACTGCTTAAAGAGTTATCATTGCCGATTTAGACGTTATGATTTCATCTTTTGGCTATAGCTAGGTTTCAGGAATGATAGGAAAAAGAAAAACTATGTATCTTCTTTCAAGGTACAATTAAATATATGTAAAAAAACAAGTTGCACTATATGTCTAAATATTTTCGAATAGTAAACATAAATATTGAAGAAACTCGACCATAGATGCTTCTATATGTAGATTTCAATGGAACTGAATTGTAACAAAAGCGAAAATTAAACGGTTTTCTAGCACTGTGTTTTCTGCATTCGAAAGGCAGAAAGGTTTAGTTTAACCTGGAAACAAAAAAGAAACTCATTTAATGATTGTAGTAATCTAAATAACAAGAATAAGAACATTAATTATTTTTCAACGCCATAAGAAAAATATGTAACGACGAGATCAACCTCGTTTTCGCCGGATAGGAACCAGAGTTTCACAACATCGTTTACATGATGCAAGAATATAATTCTTCATTTTTAGTATCTGCATTATCTAGAGTAAAATATAATCGACTCTATCACAAAGTAATGAAAGATATATTTTTAATTATATCTTGAGGTTAATAGTCACGGGTATAAAGAAAACATCTATTTCTAGTTCTCTTCATGTCACTCAAACCTTCGCTTTATCTAAATATGAAAGTCGATAGCCTTGAGGAAATAAGTTCTATTTCTTGTGAGATATTTTCTAAGAACAAAACTAAGGCGTACAGAATATGCTTTTTTTCTATATTAATTAATATAGATAACTCATCAACTAACGCAGCTATTACAAATTCTTGGGGCCATGATCTTTTTCCTCATGGAGAGGCGAATGGGTTTTTTGAAAGCGTCAAAATGGCATCGAGTGGCGAAATTGATTGGAATGATGTTGAAATTAAACCCTATTGTGGTAACATTCTTTCCCTATCTTCTATTAATTTCTCATAATATATGTTTATAGAATTTCTAGATGGTTTTCGAACAAATACAGCATTTCAACAACAAGATCGAGATAAATTACTGAATCTTGCTTCATCATTGACATCATTTTTCGATTATACGGGTATATCAAATTTAGCACAAAACAAAATTGCAAGTAAGCAATAGTTTTTCTTCTTCATGCATTGTCTTCTATAGCAAAACAATTAGAATTAATTTTTCTTTGTTTTACGATTACGATTTCCTCTAGATATTTCTATTATTCACTTTCAATATAACGGATAAGGAAGAGTCGTTTATGAAAATTATTACTTTATATTCGAATTTTTTACACGAATTATCATAAAGCCCAGGAAATTTGTTTTGTTAAATTTTCTTCCTTCCACTGTGAAATAGATGTTAACACAAATGTTGTTTCCTTAATATTCTGGTGATAAATTTCAAGAGAGAAATACCCAGGCGTGTGAATGTGAAGGGCACCACCGTTGCTTTTGTTGGCGGAGATTATCCGCACATCGTTCTTTTTCCTAGGATTCAATCATTCAGTGCCCCATCTCCTGTCTTCAGTGTTGAGACACGCCTAGGGAAATCCCTGCCTAAATTAAATATTCATCTATGACAAGAGCAGCTATCAAGATTAGCTTGGCCTTCTTTTCATTCAGTAGTTCATCGTAATCTGTTCTTTATGAAAACGTTAATTTAATCAGAATGCATATGAAGCAAATAAAAATGTTTTTCTAATGTAAATAAATTCTTAAGCAAATATTTTTCTATCGATGAAATAATAAATATGCTTCATAATTTGTTTAATAAACTTACATGAATACTTTTTATTGAGATCAGATTCTTAATATGCAATTCACACTCGTTCTATGCAGATCTTTTGTTATAATCTACTGATTAAACTGATCAAAACTAAAATTCTTCGTCGTATTGATCGGAAATTAAAATATAGAAAGCTTTTTATCATAGAAAAAAAGACCGCTAACAATAGAACACAAGTTTCATCATTAACGCAATATTCAATAACCAATAAAAATATTTCTTGTTTTTTATCTGTAGATGAGTCTATAACAACACATCGTTTACCAATGGTGTCCAATGGGACAATATTAGAAACAAATAATAATGTAATATTTGTTCTGTTAAGTTCTTATTTTTGGCATTTTCTTTTTCAGTTGACTGCTCTTCCTGTTGTAATCGAAGATGAAGCTTTCGATTGGGACTCAATCACCTAATATATGTAGCTCATTATATGTTTATATATAGATATATCGACGTATAATATTCGATTTGTTAACCCTAAAGTTTTTTTTTCTTCGTTTTTGTTACCGTCCAACCAATGGAGAAATGCTCAACAGTATAATAATTGTCATGCGTTAGATACATATATAAATATTGTTTGGCTAATGCAATAAGTTTTTTCCTCATATTGTACAGCATGAAAATTGATAAGAAAAAAAAACAGTATATTGCTTTGTATGTGTATTTTATTTGATTTATTTCGTTCATAATATGCGTCGGTAATAATAATATGAATTTCTTCTGTACAGTAAATGAGTGATGTTTGTTTTTGTGTGGTGCTTGTGATAATCACTTGTTGTATTATAAAAAGAAATTAGTTTTTTTCCTTTTCTTCAAAGTATTATACACTTGTAGATTGTTTTGATCAATTTAAATAAACATTCCGCTTTTTTCCTCTTCTCTACAAATGGAATATCGATTTTTTTATTCAATCGATGAATGCGTATTTAATACAAAATGGAAAACAAAATCTAATATTGAAAATCGCACAGATATATATTTTACTATACCTATCGCATTGAATGGTTCGGATGAGTTTCATATTGAGCATGGTCTTAAATTACGAAATAGACGCACTCTTGAACTTAAAGTACGTGAAAAACGATATTCGAATGGACAAGAATTTTGGTTGAAAACAATACATTCGAATACAAAACTTCACATTGATAATATCGATTCCATTGTAAAAGTATTAAACAAATTGAATGAAAATAAACTTATTGAGCGATTAAAATCCTCTCAGCCAATTATTGTCTGTTATGTAAGTAAATTTCGTCAGCAAAAAAACTTAGAAGGCAATCTAATTCAAGAGATAACGGGTTTACATTTGAAATTTATTCAATTGAATGATCAATCACAAATTGGTAAGGATTTATTCTTTGAAACGGTTTGTATTGAACGATCCGATTCGAAATTAATCGATGAAAAATTTATTGAAAATTTATTTCAAGAATATAGAACTATGACAATCAATCCGATGGGTTATCCAGAATTTTTATTTCAACAATATCAACAAGTAATGAATCAATAACAAAATAATAGTTCGATTTTGTTTTTTAATTGAAACTGATTTATTTTTCTATCTAATAAAGTTAAACAAGACATGATAAACCGAATGTTTCAATAAGGATTTCTTAAACTTCAATGTAAGTACAAGAAAACATACCTGGAACGTTTTTAATCATTGAGAAACATTGTTGTTGAAAAGACTCCATAAAGAAATGCCAATCTTGTACAGCAAAGATTATGATAAAACTCATCAAATTGTGTTTGAGGAAACATAATTTATCAAATAGAATGCATGAACTTGTTTAACAGTGTCATAGTCGGAAATTGGCAAGTTGAGCACGAAGAAAGATGGGCACGGAAAGTTAAGCACGAATAAATAAAACTCATACAGATACAGTGTATTGATTGGTCCAAGAAATTTATTTACATTCTATGACAGACTGTGGGTGTGAGTGTCACTAAAAGGTAAAATAAGAGTAGTACCCATGCATCTAAACCGGAGAGCGACAATTGGTCGAACGGCAATTAGCCGCGGTGTAGATTTGGTCGCATGCTTCTTTTCTACGTCCCCAAAGCTTCAATTTGCACACCCGTGACTCAATTACACATAGCACAGCTTGAGGCTAAGAGGGTAGGTGTAGAAAATAAAGATTTGCTTCATGAAATAGAGAAGTAGATGGCCTCGCTGATAAACGCTAACTGAACTGAATGATGACATTCACTTTTTAGTTGCATCAAAATATTACAAAACGATGAAAACTATATTCATTGCGAAATAGCGAAAAGTGCAGCAAACAGGCCTCGGAAAAAGAAAAAAATCATTCGTATTAAGCAAAGTTTTAAAGCAACTACTACTGACTCTCCTGTAATGCTTGACACGTAATTAGAAGAGTTTACTAAACATTGGTATTGATACTCATATTTAATGTTCCTGGCCTTTGAATAGATTGTTAACTATTCTCTAGATTGCTCTGAGCAATTTTTCTGTAATACCAATAAAAAATTTTCTGGAATTTTATTTTCGAGAATTTCGACCAATTCTATAATGCGACCAATTGTCGTAGACCCCACCCAAACGCACAATTAATCACGTTCCCTGTATTCATTTCGGGTAAATAATTAGACTATTGTACAGAATTTGTACTTATTTTGTTTATGTTGTTATATTATATATGATCCAATTAACATAAGCTGGTTTATGTTTATTCATTCTTTTTTTAAGTCTCTTTTTCTTTCCGCGCTCATCTTTCCTTGTGCTCAACTTTCACCAATCCGTCGTGCACTATTTCCTGCACGATAAATCTATTTTATTTAATTCATTTTCACCTGATTAACATTAAATGAAATGTCAGAAGTTCACGTTCTCAAAATTGAAGATATTTTGCATGTTACGCGCATATTGGTTGATACTATTAGATTTAACTAACAGCAAAAGAATAGCATCACCCTAAATGTATGGTTGCTGATCGTGATTAAAGACGTTCGGTATTATTGTACATTTATAATTAGAAGAATGTTCGTAGTAATTACAATAGAAATACGTTTGATGTGTTTAACCAGCTTTTTTCTAACATGGATGGAAAAAACTGTGGTTAATAATAACTTTTAAGTACGATGCAAGTCAAATCAAATTAGACTCAATGTCAACGTAGGCCTTTACATATAAGAAACAGCAGAAAAATTATTGGAAGTAATTTTAATTTAGATGAAGCAATTTATTTTCAATTCATATGTATTAGTTTGAAGATAAAATTCAAATTTAAGCAACGAACAGATCTGTACGTGCGTACTTGTATGTACGTATGATATTGATGGATAACAATAGGTCTCATTTTCTTTGTCACATATTTATGATAATTCGCATTTTTATTGAAATATATGGAGTACATGAAAATCGCCTTCATACGCGAGGGTGTGGGTGTATATTTAAATTATAGTGAAAAATGTCGGGAAGCAAATACGAGTGATAGACAGACAAAAAAAGGGGCATGCTTGAGAACACTGATCGCTCATGACATAGATAATATATCGTTGTTCAACATTTCACTGTAAACTCTCCACCAGCATTCTTTTCCGTATTCACTATTTGTATTGTGTCCATAAACTTTACCAACCTAATTCATAGTAATAGATAAATAAGTTAAATATGAAGGAAAAATCAATTGTTTTTTACCTCAACGGTTGGCATAAGAAAGCAACTGTCGGCACAATCACACATGGGACCACAATTATCGTCTGCTTTCTTCATTCTCTAAAAGATAGATGATTTTGACAACTAGAAACTAATTATGATCATAAATTTACGCTTCCGATCTGGTGTTCTTCAACACACTGTTGACATGCTGAAAGACACGCGATTTGTTCAGATGAAGGGGGTGAACTCGGTGTCACAGAAGCTGCTGTTGTCGTACCAGAATTCCATGGCATGCCTTGTTGCCTGTGTCCATCTACAGAATATATAGTATTTGTCTCGGTATCAACTAGTTTTCCCACAAGATTACGTAGACTACGTGCGTGATCATTGTTTCTTGCAAATCGTTTTTGATACACATTACGAAATTTAACATCATTTCTGGCTATAACGATGCTTAAACCAATAAGCACAATAAATATAAAGAAGGATCGGTAAATCATTGCTGAATGATTTAGTTTATTCTAAAAACAGAGAAAAAGCGAAAGAGACTTTATCTTGTTCTAATAAAATCTATAGTAAGTTGTGACTATATACCGTATGTGTTAGTCGGAGTAATACAATGCATTGAAATAAAATAATGATTTTAAGGAAAGAAAGATAATTATCATGAACATCAATAAAAGAAGCTTGCACGGAGAAATGAATGGAATCTGCTTCAGCTTACCCATAAGAAATGTCTTAGAAGCTCTCCGCTTTTTTTTTCTTTATCATGATAACATAAAATATCACAGATGATATTAAATCTGGCTATTCAATAGAAATGACGTCAGTATTATGAATAATTAATATCTATTTATGCTACCTTACTTTATAATTCATAATCATGAAATAAAGATGCAAAAATACTTCTCATGTTGAATTTCATATCTACCGACACTTTATTCTTCAATAAAAACGACTGCTCGTACTTAAATAAAGTAGCGTCCATTATTTGACGATGAAAAGAAAATGTGATGTTTCTCAATTTCAAAGAAGAAACATATCTTCAATATAGTCGATTGTTAGTAAAAATAATTAACTAATGTTTTTGCGTCGAATTCTATCAAGACGTGTGTCTTTTTTTTGCGGGTGAAACTCCTATTATTAAAAAGTAGCTTGTTATGAAAAGAAATGTGATAAAAACGGAAGCTTTCCCTTTTATTCATCCTATCACTCTGTGTGCCAGTTAAAACGAGGAAAGAATGAGATGCATCGGAAACAGAATAATTATTCACTGTTTCACTGTTCAAAAAATTATCATCATAATTAATCACGAAATAACAAGGATTCAGGTACTCTCTCTCTCTCTCTCTCCCACTAATATATGAGTAATGCTATCTTGATATATGATCAAAAATAAAACTTACAAGAGTCTTCTGGATGAATAATAAATAAATAGGAGAATGAATGTTGAAATGAGTTTAAAAGAGAGAGAAACGGCAGGAAAAAGGTTTTCTCTTCTATTTTTTCTTTCTCGCCTTTCATATGAAGACCTAGACTTATTTAGACTAGAAAAGAGAAGAGAGACTAATTGATGCTATAGAATAAGAGACAACAAAACAAGCCCATTGTTAAAATCTTGTGTTTATAACTATTATTAGGGGCATGCAGAAGAAGCTAAGCGCCTATGCAGAATTGATGGACAATATAGGCAAGGGTAAAATGTTATCAATTGTCACGTTTTACATGTTTTTGTTGAATTACAAAAAAAGAATTATTATAAAAAATCATTTTAAATATTTATTAAAAGTGAAAATAAGATTCACGTGATTTATCAAGAGTTTTTATTCTTCAATAACTCCTTTATTTTTTCCTTGGATAGTGTCAACGCATCGATGAAATATTCTATTCAAGCGAGGACATGTATATAGAAGATAGAGAAAGAAATATGAGAAAAGTTTTAACGGTACTTCTCATAAAACTTCAGATGAAAAGAAAACATTTAATACTTATAAATGTACTTTTGGCTGCAGTATATAATTTATATTGAAGAATAATGAATTGCAAGTTATTCGGTGTAATTTTTTTAATGGTCGATACTGTTATACAATAGATAATAATGCTTCTTTGAATAAATTATTTACGGAAGCAGTGGGTGTTTGTCAACAATGATAAGAAAAGTACCATCAGAAATCATCCGCTTTTTACATCTATATTTGATTAATATTAATGCATATCTGATATGGTTGTACTTTGAAGATGTCGAACAGATGCGTATCATATGAAAAAATAAACACGCCAAATATTTTTTTTTGCATATTTGATTGTTGATATTGTGAAATTTCATACATTGAGTGAAAATTTTGAAATTATAATGAGCGTATTCAATTGATTTTATGTATACTCTATGTACACATGCCATTGATTTGAACGAGCTCCACTTAAAAGATAATTAACATGATTATATTTTCTATTTAGTTCTTTTTTTTGAGAAAAATTATTCTGCAGTAGATGAGCCAATTATAATCGCTACTGTTTATTATACAGTTTATATTGTTTGTAATTTCACAAAATCTTTTCAAGAAATAAATCTTTTGCTCTTACACTATTGATTTTCAGGTTAAATTCATTTTCCAGTTGTAAAATCTAATAAAAGCATCAACTGTTTTAAGCTAAAATATATCCGTACAATGTGAAGGAGAGAAAAGAGAGATCATGATTAAAGAATTAATTGAAAATATTTTGTTTAAAAAAAACAATAAAAAAGAAACAAAAAGTATAGATCAAAATTATTGAGTAAGAACCTGAGTTTGTGTGCAACGATGATAAAAAAAGATGCTAAATTCTTTCGCTTGCAATCATAAAAAATTATGCTAGATAATAATATACATCAAGAAGAAAAAAAACAACAATGATTATAAGAACGAAGATAAATTATTTATCCCATGCACAGATTACAGTAAAAAGAAACGGTTAAAAATTTAATTCTGTTAAAGAATAATATTTCATTAAGAATGAAAAAGTTCATGGTCTAACACAATTGATAAATAGAAAAAAGTTGCTATGTCATGGAGTGATATATAGACCTATGGAAGAGAATAGTGCAAACGATAAGTTCAATGGTTGAAAAAAAGCAAATAAAAATAGAAATTATTCGTAAGTTTGTCTTTTTAGATACGTTCAAATAGCAGCAGCCTTTTACTTATGAAGGAATAGCACAACATACAATTGTTACTCGTCCAGTTCTACCTTGAAAGGGCCCGAATTGCGCCTGAGTCACCGGAGACAAGTTGCTAGCTGGTGGTAAAACAGGTGGCTGACAGGGAACACTGCCTAATGATGGACCATTTAACGATGATGTAACATTAAACGCTGGTGGACCATTTGATATATTCATGTTAGTTGCCTGACAACTATTGAATGCCTGTTGTGGACCGGCATTGAATGATGGTGGCTGTGGGCCGGCATTGAATGATGGTGGTTGTGGACCGGCATTGAATGATGATTGTTGTGGGTAAGTATTGGTGAATTGTGGTTGAGCTGGAGGAAATCTATTGAATCCTGGTTGATTAAAATCACCGCAGGATTGTTGACCGTTATTAAAAAATCCTGATGGACAATATGCTGCGAGTCCATATTGCCCAAAGCCATTATAAGGTTGCTGATTGAATCCAGCGAATGCTGGCTGACTGAAGTTACCAAAAGGTTGTTGATTGAAGCCACCATATCCTGGTTGATTCCAACCTCCTTGAGGGAATTGACTAAAACTACCGTATCCTGAAAGACTGGGATGGCAGAATCCTGCTTGGTTGTAATTAGCATACGATAACTGATTGAATCCACCATATCCTGAATATCCAGGCTGATTATATCCTCCATATCCTGAGAACGCAGGCTGATTGTATCCTCCATACCCTGGATATGCAGGCTGATTATATCCTCCATATCCTGGGAACATAGACTGGTTGTAGCCTCCATATCCTGGAAGTCCAGGCTGACTGTATCCTCCATATCCTGGGAACGCAGGCTGATTGCAGCCTCCATACCCTGGATATACAGGCTGATTATATCCTCCATACCCTGGGAACGCAGGCTGATTGCAGCCTCCATACCCTGGATATACAGGCTGATTGTATCCTCCATATCCTGGATATGCAGGCTGATTATATCCTCCATATCCTGGATATGCAGGCTGATTATATCCTCCATATCCTGGATATGCAGGCTGATTATATCCTCCATATCCTGGGAACGCAGGCTGAACATAGCCTCCATATCCTGGAAGTCCTGGTTGGACATATCCTCCATAACTTGGAAGCCCAGATTGAATGAATCCTGGTTGACAGCTTCCACTGAAGCTCGGCAATATATTAGCACCAATACCTTTGTAATTAGTGAAAAATGAACAATATGAATAGCGAAAATGAAAGTAGTCCTCATTACTTGGCAATGCACCGTAGCTATTAAGACTTCCACACTGAGGAAATCCTTGGCTGAAACCTATGATAATTAAAAATTACAATAAATAAAATTATTTCTTCCTGAAGCTTATTAATAGATGTACGTATACCTCCATAGAAAGGAGCTCCACCAAAACCGTTAGGAATATTTTGTGGAAAAAATTGTTGTTGTGGTATCATTGGTATCTGAGGTGGATACATGATCTGTTGTGGTACCATCGGAGGCAATGGTGAAGGAATAGCTAAAAAATGCAACAGAATATGATAAACTGCAACTTTATTGAATCATTTTTATTGTAACTATTAGTGCTATATCAATTTTGTATAGAAAAGCAATGAGTCTTACGCATTGGTATTTGCTGATGCACGATTGGTGGTGGAGGTGGGAATGGTATTTGAGGTATCATTGAAGGACAAGCTATAGAACAATGAGAAAAATTTTAATAATTCTTTTTATGCGATGAATATTATCATCAATTTAAAAAGTAAATAAAAATGTTCAGATAACCGACAGAGAAACGTTCTTACGCATGACAAATGGTACATTTGGTGTTGAAGGAAACATTGAAGGATATGCTATAGAACATTAGATGAGAAAGCTATTGATATTGAATATTCCACTGTATTTCTTACACATAGGAGGAGGTCCGAATTGTACTTTAGGAATGATAGATGGAACAGCTAAAGTAAAGATAAAATGTATTAATTGACAGAAAGAAACGATGTTTAAAACAATAGCATTCCATTTAGTTAACATATTTCAAAATAGTATGATAGACAATGTAATAAATAAAAAGAATTGTAAACATAATTAGAAGCATAATTCTTACGTATTAAAGGTGTTGGAATCGGTATTTGGGGCATGATCAATGGATAGGCTAAAATATTTGAAAAAGACATATGACCAACAAATTTCGTATAGAATTCAAGGTAGTATAGTCAAAAAAAACTATACTAAATATGAAGCAAAGATAAGAAGCTTTCATTTCTTACGCATCGGTTGTTGACTTGGTATCTGAGGTATCATCGGCATGTAGGCTAAGCAGAATTCATTTCAATAAAAGAAAAAAGTTAATTAGATATGTGTGTCTTTTGATAAACAATAGAATGTATTGAATTTTCTTACGCATAGGTATTTGAGGCATAATTGGTTGAATCATAGGAGGAGGGCAAGGAATGGGAAAAGGTACTTGTGGAAAAATCGATGGTGCTTGATAAGGCATTGGCCAATAATTCGAACCAATTTGAGAGTATGGTAATGGCATTATAGGTATTTGTGGGAAGCCAGATCCTCCTAAACCGCCTATGAAAGGGTTCATGCGTGCACCACTTTGTTGCAGTAGATTTTGTAGTGCATTTACTATATGATTAGGCATATAGATGCGACGCACTTTGGATCCACCAAAGCCAGGTTCGAGCACTGGATTAAAATTTGTTGGATACATATAACCGTATCTACTAATGCCTTGTTGTCCAAGACCACCCAAACGAATATCTTCTGTTCCAGAAGTTGGTCCATTAGTAAAACCGTAACCAAATGGATATTCTCGTCCAGTCGGCTGATAAACAGAACCGTAGTTTTCAATGTTCTCATAACCACTATAAGGATCATAACCTGTACCATAATAAGTGAGACCAGGTTCTCTCTTAAGATAATTATTGTTAGCCATTCTACAGAAATATCAATATGTATATATGAACTTCTAAGAAGCGAATATGTAGATACGAGTGGAAAAAAATGAAACGAATTCAAGTATATTAATACGCAAATGGATATAAATGGAAACGTTTAGTTCATCTTAAAAGAAATGTTTACTGATTTGCATACCGTCTTTTCTTTTATATTTTGAATAGTTTCGATGTTCGACGTCGACAAGTTACTATATTGAATGAGTGATGGAGACAAGACTACAAATATGTTCATACAACACCTGCTGTCTCTCTCTCTGATCAATCGACCGCAGCCAAACCACCAATTTTGAGAGGAAGAGAGTAATAGAATTCGAAACAATTCAATCATTTATACTTCATCAATGATGTATTCGCCTACGGACAAGTTTTCTGCTTGTCCCATTTTTTTCTCTTTTCATTTTATCATTTTGTCCTTGGTCCGATCTTTTCGCACTCAACAATGATGATCTGATGTATATTAAGATGACAACTTGCAATGACAGACCTTGCCTGTGGTAAGATCTCTTGCTAATCGAACGATAATAGAAAGCCATAAAATTACATGTACGATTTTATTTCGTCTAATGAAAATAATTAAAATTGATATAAGAATTATACTCATGGTCAAGTGAAAAATCAGTCTATTAGATGCTTGCTATTAGTATATAAATATTCTTTTTATTTCTTATCATCTTCTACATTCGACTATAATGTCCTAATGTATACGAAATAGTAAAAGTTTTTACTCGCTATATCAATAATATCTAAACGTTAAAGCACCATTAACTCTATGATTTCTTTTCTTTTGAATAAATTAAAATTTTACATCAAGTAGAAACGGCAATGAATGTTGCTGTTTTACTCAGATGATTAATATGATGTTTAACGTGAGAATTTTCTTCCGGCATATATAATTATATGTAAAAATTAATAGAATTCATTGAATCAAATTATTTTTCATACTAGATGAATAATGAAACGATTTTAGTATTTTACAATTTTGATTTGAAAGCTAAGAGAATGTCTTTATTTCCTATGAAATAGAAAAAAGAATAAATAACAAGTAATTGCAGTCAGCAGTGATGTTTATTATTCTTTTGTTTTTGTACTGTCTACGTTTGATATCTTTCTATACATTTAAATTAGTGATATAAATCTTTGTACGAAAAAGAAAAAAGAGAAAAGACGCAGAGCTTCTGTTTTAAACCGATTATTTCATTCAGTATAACCTTCATTTATATTTTTTGTACACTATAAATCAAATAGTATTCGACATTTCAACAAGCATTTATGCATATCAGTCTGGTTTTATTTCTAGACATTCAGCCTAATGTCTATTGAATTCATCTTATCGAGATTTCATAATTCATTGAAAAAAATAACCACATCATTATAATTAATGGGATCATTAGCATTTAGTTATCCCTTGTTTACAGTGACAAAAATTAGTGATGCGTCACGAAAGTTTATAGCAAGAAGCACGGCTTTTTTCCACCAATACAATTTTTTGTGTGCGGCATATGATTATATGAGACATGCAAATAAGCACAGAAAATATCAAAAAACCACACTATTAGCCAAATTTTCTTCACTCATAAAAAAAACTTCGATTGACAAAACAGACAGGTGTGTTGTGTTTATCATTGTAACTAGCTCAGATTTTGTTTTGTAAAGGTAAAAAGAGAAAAAAAAATGGAGTTGCACGATACTTTGACGATATAACCATTAGAAATGTTTACATCGATACATAAATGACAAAAAGAATAAAAACTATCGATACTGATGGGGTGTAAATGTTGTATTTTCTTTATTAATTTTTCTTCGTACAAAAAAAACGTAAACTAATATAATGTAACAAACACATAAACAAAGAAAAAAAAAGGAAAAAGAAAATACTATGAATAACTACGTTTTAAAATCTGAAATATAATTTGAGGCATAAGACACTTCAAATCCTACGAAAACAAGCATTATATTTTATTTTCAAGAGTAACATTTCTTGGTGGTGGTGAAAAAACTTTATTGTTTCTTAAATTTTATGATTAATTTGTCATTTATTTGCTTGTTTTTTTAAAGATTTTACTTATCGACTTGGACTATTATTGAATGACATTTAAAAGTATTTTATAAATCCAAAGCACAGAAAAAAAGAAAGCAAGATGTGTCTGCACAGCAAAGAAAAACTTTAAAAAAAAAAGAAACAAATGTCTAACTGCTGATATAGTTAAGATTTCTAATTAGGAGCTGGGAAACAGCAACAAATCATACGTCCGCCAGCAGGTTGTTGGGGTTGTTGTGGCATTGGCTGAGGCATTGGCATGGGCATTGGTTGAGGCATTGGCATGGGCATCGGTTGAGGCATTGGCATTGGATGAGCCATTGGTTGAGGCATTGGCATTGGCATTGGCATTGGCATTGGTTGAGGCATTGGCATTGGCATTGGCATTGGCATTGGTTGAGGCATTGGCATTGGCATTTGAAATTGTTGTGGTTGTGGTGCGCCAAATCCTGAAACATATTAGAAACGAATATATAAATCATTTGTAGGCATATGAAAAATAATAAAAATAAGACAGTCACTCGAAAAACTTACCCATGGCAGCACTCATTGGGCATGGAGCTCCACCTCCGAATCCTCCTCCCATTCCACCTCCGAATCCTCCTCCCATTCCACCTCCGAACCCTCCTCCCATTCCACCTCCGAATCCGCCTCCCATTCCACCTCCGAATCCTAAATATACGGAAATATCGGTTCATAGTGACATTCACCGGCTAAGTAGTGATACTCACCACTACCGTAAGAAGCTAAACCGCCTCCGAATCCTAGAAATCAGTATAATGATAAAATTTTAATTTTATTCAATATAAAAGACATACCACCGCTAGATCCACCAAAGGATGCTCCTCCACCATAGCTTCCGAGACCTATAATAAACAACAAAAAAGATTTAGTATTTTAAAAAATAGCTGAAATTTCATAGGGAACTTACCACCACAACCTCCAGAAGGCATTGGTGGTGGCATCATTGGCATTTGTTGGGGAGCGCTATCAAATAAAAGGCGAAGAAGTCGTTTCAACATTTTTCTGCCTAATCGCAAGAATATTCTTACCAAGATTGTTGACCACCCATTTGAGGAATGAAAATAGCACGGATTTTTGGTGGGAGACTACCGTAACCGACTTGACCAATAGGTGAAGCTCCATACCCACCGTAGTTTGTTACTGTGTATCTTGGAATGTCTCCATATCCACCACCAGCTTAAAGTGTTAAATATGCTTGTATAATAGATTGATCGTAAAAAATGATATTATCTTACTTTGATAACCATAGGGGTCATAATAAGTACCATAGGAGCCCATTCCGTAACTTGGTTCGTAATATTGTTGTTGTCTTTTTGATCCTCGGCCACCCATTTCTTGTTATTGGTTGATATACAATTAGTCTAGTGCCTAGAATTAATACAAGTAATATTAATACCAAGACGATAATAATAAAGATACATTGCAATATTTTAATCTTATACAGTTTACTCACTTTTATCCGAATGGTGACAACGATGGTCGCTATGAAGTAATCGATCTGATACAAATGTTGCTGATTTTATAGGTAAGCCGTTTCACCTTTGCTTACTAGACAATATAGAGAAAATGAGAGAGAAAAAAGAGAAAAAAAAGAGAAGAGAGAGCCTTTTCTGCTTGGAAAAAGGACGCCGCCGTTTGTCCCTTATTGTAAGGACTGCACTCATACAATACAATTGGTTTATTACGTTTGTCTCTCAGGCGTCCCTGCATCAATCAATGACGCGTAAAGAGAAGGTTTCAACGATGGCTGTGATATGCACGAAAAAAGAAACATGTTTTTTTTTCATCAACCATGGTCGTTGCGCTGTTATTAATGTAAACGAGAAAGACAATAATAAATCCCCCTAATTACAATAAGTATAACCATGGCCAAAATTTCGTTTCACTTACCTGAGCACAAGCGTCATTACTCACACCCTCTTTAGTTGAAATTAAACCACATCTAAATATGCTCACATTAAGTCATAAACAAAAAATAAACACAAATCGATAGGGAAGAAAAATTTTGAATCCTATCATTTATTTAGTGAATCTTCAATCATTGATGATGATATTGAAGCTACTATTGTTGACAAAGATCCAAATGGCAATCAATCAAGAAACGTCTTTTGGTATACATTCAAAAGCGAGATAGAGTATGATTGATATTGAAATCTGATACTTTTTGGTCATCATTTTTGTAAATTCGCTTGCTATCTATCCATATAACTAGTTGGTATAGTTTCAGGACTAAAATAATAATATCACACAATGAGCATAAACACATATACGCATATATATATGTATATATATACGTACAGATTCACTCATTAATTTTTATTTTAAAGAAATCAAACAGGTATGCAAGAATGGGCTTCTTGTTTCAGATCGCATCGAAGCCAATTATTGTAATACAATATTTGGTTGTATTTATTGTTTTCCGATAAAGCAAACTGTAATGATGATGAATGAATTTTGATGGATATTCTGAGTCAAATGTCAATGTCTATACAAAATCCATTTTTTCTTATAATAGAAAAAATATCAAATATTTTATTTAAAACTATTGGTGCTCAGTATATCATTGTTTTTAAATTATTTCCTTGCATGCATATTTTTGTAGCTTTCTAAAGTATTATACATACTATAGTTATGAATTTTTGTAACATTATATATATATATTTATTTATTTATTTATTTATACATAGATCGATAGATAAATAACTTTGAAAGTATCGTGAGATATTCATCTAATAATAATAAGAAGAAGAAAATGAAATCAATGTAGTTCCAAATAGCTTCTCTTCAACTGATGAGCCTATAATTCGAAAAATTTGTTTCAAAATGAACAAGAAACTGATCGTCATGTTGATTACGAACTACTGATTCAAATTAGATTTTTTAAATCATCCACTTAGTTTTGGTATTTATAACGCAATGAAAATAAATTTTGAATATTCTTTATTGTAACAATAACTCTAAATTTTAACTCAACCCAAGTTTACTAACCATATGATAACATTAAAAAAATAATGCACTTTTGATTATTACTTCGATTTATACATTTAGAGAAATACATTATCCTTTATTACTATTTTCACAGCTCGATTATAATATTTGTTTTTTGTCTATTGTAGCAATGGTACATTTTAATACTGCTTTATCAATCGGTTTTTGCCTTTTTTTCGCTTTTTACCAACAGTATATCATCAACTTCCTTTTCAACAACCTTTCATAATATAAACATCGAGCTATTCTTATTACATATGCTAATCGTGAAAATGAAATGAGTATTAATGTGACTACTCCACGCTTGATCGCGTCACACCGCAATGTATAGCTCGCGTAACCGCGCGTTGTCGTCGTTTGTTACCTTGATTGCATTGCTTCCCCATTCTTTTTTACACTAGTTTTGTTCTCTCTCTCTCTCTCTCTCTCTCTTTTCTCTATGCTTACATACTACATTCGATATTCAACACCGACTAATATTAATCGATCAGTCATCTAACTCTTTACCACACGTCAACGTGTGGATAGGGATCCGCATCTAATTCACCGTCTTTTTGTTTTTTTTGTGCATATGCATGCATGATATATTGTCCGCAATGACGCTTCTCGTTTGTTTCTCTATCTCCATTTATGTGTTCTTTTTTTTTTGTTCTTCAGATATTACCGTCAGTTGTACACAGCTCAGCGATCAGTAGTATCATAAAAAAGCTACATAAAGGTTTGTTTCGATTACGCTGCTTGCATCTATTATTCGTCGACTTATTTTTAGATTAGATAAATTCGTTTAATAATGGGTAATCGCTCAGCTAGAAACAATCAAGCCTACGGATCTGGTGATCCATATTTAAATCAGTGAGTTCAATTTAATTATTGTATTTGATTATGATTCATATTCATATAGATACGGTAGTGGTTATGGTTATGGTGGTCAACCAGGACTATCTGGATATGGTTCAAACGGAGGTAAAATAATGTCTACAGTTATTCTATTCTACTACTTTTGTGTTTAGGTTATGGAACCGGTGGTTATGGAGCGGGTGGTTATGGACCAGGCAATTATAGCGCGACTACACCAGGATCTCTGATTCCAGAACAATGGGCAGAAACACAATGGGTTAGTCAGTATGTTCCCACAGTAGCCGGACGACAAAAGCGACCAGTAATTTATATTGCTGCTCCTATGCCTGCAGCAAATCCATGTGGTGGATTCGGTGGTGGTTTAGGTGGTGGTGGTTTCGGCGGTGGTTTAGGTGGTGGTGGTTTCGGTGGCGGTGGTTTCGGTGGTGGTCTTCCACTAGGCGGTGGTTTTGGTGGTGGTCTTCCATTGGGAGGAGGTTTTGGTGGAGGTCTCCCAGCTGGAGGTGGTTTCGGTGGTGGTCTTCCGCTTGGAGGTGGTTTTGGTGGTGGTCTTCCATTCGGAGGAGGTTTTGGTGGAGGTCTCCCAGCTGGTGGTAGCAATATGGGTTATCAAGTATTACCAATGATGACTGTTGCTTATGGTGGTGGCATCCCACCCATGGGTGGTCAATACGGTGGACTAGGCGGTGGATTAGGTGGTGGACTAGGTGGTGGACTAGGTGGTGGTTTACCTCTCTTTTAAAAAACATAAACTTTCTGTCTTGTGTTCGAGAGGTTTAAGTCTCTCTACTTATTATAAATCACAAAAAAAATATCTATTCTCTCGAACTTGTTTTGAGCAGATTTCTTTTCGAAGTTCATTGTTGATGCGTGTGTGTGTCCGTGTGTGCATGTATGAATATCGATATCTATTTGGTATTTGTCAATCTCTCTATTTTCTTTCTTTCTCATTATATGTCCTACATACGATGTTTGCCATTTTAAAGCGTTCTCTGTTTTTATTTAGTGTAAGAAGACATTCGAATTGTGTTTGCTTTGAGAAAGAGAAAAAAAAGAAATAGACAGAAAATTCCGACAATTCTAGAATAACTTCATTGATATATAATCGTTTCTTTTCTCTTCTTTTTTTGAAAATTATCACAACAAAAGAAACACTATTTTAGCCATGAACATTAGATGATTTAAATGAGAAATTTGTTGTGTCTTCATCTTTCCTACAGAAACAGTATGATATGAATTATTATTGAGTTTTCAAGAAAATTTATGCAAGTACTCTTACCCATTCAAAAGTTTAAATATAAAGGTCAGACACTTGAACTAATGAAGTACTTTTTCTTTAGACTGCGAACAAACACTCGATATGATTTGACATGCAATTATTAGTTTTTCTTCGCTTTGACATATCACATTATTTGACTTCGTACTTATCAATGATGCAAGAATAATCTTGTAAGTGAAATAATATTCGAAACATCCTTGAATACGAAAATTCAATGAGATTAATTAAAGTTAAGAATCAAATGATTGGATATCAAGTCAATGTATAAATATTATCTCTATGATCATCTCGATTGTATCTAATACTCGAGAACAGTGCAGCGTTTTTTTCTTTTTATTATGCTCTTACGCTAACTCTGGATCAAAATAATGACATCATGATATAGTAATCATACAAGCAATAATTTTATCATCTATATTGATCTGTTTTTCTCTCCCTGAATATTCAAAAAAGCGTCACATTTGCTATTGTTAGAATCATATTGAGCATGACTACTAGAGTACGTCTTTTTGATTATGACTTTGATAAACACTCTTTTCATTAACAATCACATTTCATAGAGTAAGGGCTTCTTTCAATAGAAAATAATGATTTAATGTTATCGAAAATTTTAATTTTTATGCCACATATACCTAGTAATATATCTACAGTCATTTCTCTTTCACTAAAGTAGATATTCTTGTGATTTAATGTCAATTATAATATGACGAAGAAGAAGAAGAAAAAAAAGCACGATTTATAATTGTAAGAAATTTGCATGATAACATTTTGATTCTCTTGAGAATAAGATAGGAAGATTTTAAAAGTGCTTTTCTTTTTATCAGTAGTTTTATTCACGAAATCATTTAATTTCAATATGATAATATATACGTAATAGTAAAATTTCGAAATATTTAAAAAAATGTTTACTGTTTTCTGTAAAAATATCTGTTGATTCAATCTTAAATTTATATAGATTATTGCTATTTCCTAACATTTAATGGTCGAGCTATGATTATTCAGCAGTCACAAGGACAAAATACTTATAAATAGAAATAGGTTTTCTCGTCCGTCAATGAGAAGAGAAAAAAAAAAGAAAAATTATCCAAGTGTGACGAAATGCAATTTGGAAAAAAAAAATTTCATACACTGTCGAAGGTATCGACCATTAATTAGAGCAAAGCTTTTTTTCTTATACAACAAATAAACATATATTATTTTTATTCATTTAAATAAGACGACAGCGAGAAAATAATTATAAGCACGAAAAAGGAGAGAAAAATGTCAAGTTCACAATTTTATGTGATAAATAAAAAGAAAAAGAAAATTGACTAGATTCCAATTATTCAGAAACAACAACAGCAAAAAACTGATTAATAAATACAATATGAGAATGAACAATATTTGACTGTAAGATAATTTCGAAATATACACTATTGTAGATTACAAGTTAACCTACAATAATGTTCCTACTGACAATACAACATTTCGTTACGGACAACAAAAATAAATAAATTAGATCTTAAGAACTAATTAATGATGATGTACTACCAGAGAGAAGTCGTTGAGTATCGTTGATAAATCTTTGTGAACTATGCCAAAAGCCATAGAAGCCATAGATAAGAAAGCCTAATAATCAATAGATTTCTTCGTGCTGTTTTTCTATTTCATTTTAAAATCAATGGTATCTTACCTAAAACCATCCATACACCGAATCGAACCCAAGTCGCCGGTGAAAGTTTAAGAATTAAATAAGTATTGATCAAAACACTCAGTATCGGCACATAAGGCACAAGCGGAGTCTATAAGAAAAACAAAGTTTCATATTGTTTATCGAAAAAACAAAACCAAACCTCATGAAATGTTAGCTAGAAAAAAAAGATAATAAATCACTATTTTTTTTCTTTTATCAATTCTAAAATTGTGTAACTTACCTCAAAATACGATGGTTTTTCACTTTTTGGTTGTCGTGCGATAGCAATAACAAGCAAAATTTCCGTAATAGTAAAAATGGTAAACGCTATGACAGTTCCAGATTCTTTAGCTACAAGACGATGCGAAGCAAATATTTGTATTGCACAAACAATGAAACCGTTAATAACTAACATTAAAAATTCAATTTTAATTTTCATCATGTTATATTTTTGCTTACCCAACAAGACAATAAGATATTTCGTTATTCTTGCTGAATATACTGTTGGATGTGTTTGTGACGGTCGAAATAATTCTTTGTAAATTGGTCCACTAACAGGTGCAATCGAGCGCAAAAGCGGGTCATCAACAGGTTGATAACTAAGATAACAAAAAGCAATCTTCGACATTAATTGAAAATAAAAATTTTCATACCGCAAAAATAAGACAGAAATAGATACAAGAGAATAAGCAAGTAATGTGCCGATTGACATCATTTCAACTAATTTTCTTAGATCGAACATCAAAGCCATCAATGCTATTCAGTACAAAATTCATTTTTATTAAATAGATATGAATTCATTTTTTTCAACCTGCAGCTATTCCACCAAGAATTGTCGCTATAATTGGTGTTTGTAAACGTGGATGTATCCATGATATAAAACGAAATATTAATCCATCAGCAGCAATCGCATATAAAACACGTGGCAATGGTAAAAGTGAACCAAGTAATGAAGCAAATATGCCTTTAGAAAAATTTTTTTTAAAAAACTCGTGAAAACAACAAAGAAAATTCATCGTACGGAACACATACCCGTTAATGCACCCACACCAATTATATATTTGAATGCTGGTAATTGAGCATAGCGGAATGCTTCGGGGAAAACGGCATCAGGGTTTAAAAGATAATATGGAACCTGAAAATGTAATTAAAACATGTGTTATATTTGGTTTCAAATTCTAATAAGAGAAGCGTTAATTATTATGAAATATTATAATTCAGAATAATTCGAAAATATATTATCAATTTTCTGACTCGTTATATATGATTACTTTTTATTTCATCACACGCTGAATTTAGATTACATCTATTGATGTTTTACCACTGATTAGAGTTTACATCATTTTCAAAATTAGAAATAATTTAACAAATGAACTGAATCGAAAGATACTATTTTAGATTATCATTTCCAATGTTTAATAAAGCACTTAAGTTATTTAATGAATGAAAAGAGTTCAAGGGCATCTGATATCTTTTGTGACTTACATTTTGCTTGTTTTTGTGTACTCAAAAAATGAGTACACTCTAGATTCGACCAGTGTGTCCGGCCGGCCGTTGACACGATGACTCTTGAAAGTCTCATCCAATCGTCTTGAAATTTTGTACACAAAATGATCTCATCAATATCTCAGTCGAGCTCGAAGAGGAGAAGGATTCGTCAAGAAATGGCTGAGTTATCGAAAAAATTGTCATTATTGACCAGACCATCCCAGGGTGGGGGGGGGGGGGGAGAACAGGGGTTTTTT